CAAATTCTAATAATTTTCTTCTTAAAAGAAAGAACAATTTTAGAAAGAATGGAGCAACCTAAAATGATTTCTGTTTTAAAAAGCTAAAGGAGTAAAATAGAATGTTAGATTTTCCTTCACTTTGGAGTTACATTATTTGATGCGCGTGGAAAGTTGTTGGTTGTTGTAAACTTGATGGGATCTCATGTCTCGCTCTGAATGCAATCAAATCGTGTCACTTTTATTTTTTCTCTTTCTGATAAGTCTTATAAGTACTTAGAGTCAACACAATCATGATTTGATTCAATTAGGCTCATTTGTACATATAAAAAGAAACAAAAAATATGTCGCCTAGTGAGAATAATTCGAGTTCTTCTTCGCAGTTGAGTGATCCTTTCTAAAGTTATTAATATATGTTTTTGGTCATCTGTGTTTTGACCTGTTACAATAGAAGTGCACAATTCTAGTAAGCTTCTTTGAAATAACTATTATGATTCAGGTCCGACCTCGAAAAACAGTATAAAACATTTAAGTTCTTACAATAACAATCGTATTTTGATATGTGGTATTTCTCTGTACAGTTGGTCATGTTATGAGGTACTACAGTTCATAACCAAACGACATAATGTTACAGGCAAAGAAAATTAAATAAAAAAGTATCTTGAAATATAAGCAAAGATATGATTTCAGATAAGCACTAACATCATGAAATGTACCTAATTTAACATTCTCTGTTTCGACGGACTTGAATAGATGGTAGAAGGGAGACACAACAGGAATATTGTTTTTCATAAATATGTAGATCTTTCTATACAAGACTCGGGCAGCAAATTACTTTAGCCTACTTTGAAGTCCAGTAGCCAAGATAGCCGATAAGGCAGACAGACTTATCTTTCCAGACACACTCACTTCGCAGTCTTACATTAATAGAGATGTTGGCCTACGTTGCCACCGACTTACTGTGGCTACTATTCCTACACGAACAAAGAAATTTGGTGACTCATTTCTTTGTCGTACTATTTGTTCCCTCCTTCCTATAACCTGGGGTCCTTTAAGAGAGGCGTGAAGAAGCATTTTTGCAGGCCGGCAAGGTGAGGATGATTGGTGTAGCAGTTTATAACTGCTGTACCAGCTATCTTCGCGTTTGGACTTTATTACCACTTAACATCAGGTGGGGTAGAGTCATTTGCCTACCTGCCCCTCTAGCATGACCACTGAAACGGGATATGATTTAGCGATATATCGGCATTAACTGTCAGACTACAGAGTTTGACAGTAGTCTGACAGTTAATGCCGATATATCGCTTTATCATATCCCGTTTCGGTGGTCATGCTAGAGGGGCTGGCTATTTAAAAAAAAATTGTTGACCAACTTTTATTTTCCTGCGACTATCAGGTTGATTATCAAAAAGTATTGGATTTGTATTTTTTATTTTTTTACAGAGATATATTAATTTTAAATGTCGCATGACGTCACGTCTTCGAACAATTTTTACTTAGAAGTGACATCACGAGTTCATGTGCTCAAACATTGAGCGCGTTACTTTGTAATTTTTTGGTTAATTGACTATTTCTTTCTTTCTTTCTTTCATAATGTAACTGACGGACTAAATAGCCCTCTTCATCACCCCTTTTCTAATATCTGAACACAACTATTAAAATAATATTGTGTTTTTGGCTGCAATCTTCTGTGAAGTTCTTTATCGTATAACACTTTTGATGATTGTGTTTAGTATGCTATTGTCTGTGGAAAAGAAATATTAAAAAAATACGTTGCAATTACCTACAGTATGAAGACATTGAAATCTAAGATAATCCTAGAGGAAATCAGACACATCTATCAAGGTCTCCGTAGTATAAAAAAAGTAAATTGAACAAATCAAAAAAGCAGTCGTGCTTTATATTACTGCAAATAAAAACTGAAAAGAAATGAAAACAAGTCCAGTAGTCTATAATGCTGTTAGGTAAGGGACAAAGCTACTTTAACAGTCGAGACCCATTAGATATCCAAGAATGGATCAAATTTTTCATTAATGCTTTGGTAGCCTAGGGTATGAATGCGATTCCAGCCAGTATATTTGACTTGATAAGACAAGCTGATTTTTTTTCTACTTCAAAAAACTTGAACCCGAGGAACGAGTTTCTACTTAAGTTCTCTGAAAGTGAAAGTTAAGAGCTCTTCATTCATAAAGAATTTCATAATAGTCTTATATGAGACATTATCAACATGTTTCTGTAATAACGCCATCTTTGACCCTTACTATCGTTCATCTCTCTATGAGTGAACACACAAAGAATCTCACGTTCTATCTTTAAGAACTATCTTCATTTAAAATTTTTTTTGGGTCTAAACAAACATTTTTTATTGTTCCAGTGAAAACGGTGAAAGGGTGATCCCGTCGCGAACTCTCGACCGCAATTAAGCGCATAAGTCTAACTCATAACGACCACACTAAATGACTGCTTAGCATTATAATAGGGTTATTCGCGGCTATTCAGTGATATTACGTGCGGCGCGGATAGCTTTCGGTTGCTACAATATTGAGTAATTTCGTCAAGTCACGTACGTGTAAGTATGAAGCAGAAGTGATTCAGTTACGTACCTGTTCGTAATTCCTTCAATTAAACATTTATTTTGCGTTACTCGTGAGGAAATCTTATTTTATACTAAGAGCTTGTGTGAAATATTAGTAAGTGTATTATGTAAAAGTCGGTTGAGATAATGCTCAGCGCTCTCGTACGTTTCCTTGATTTCTAAACCATCAAACACTGAATTCACATGGAAATAGCACACTTCTGGTCTAGCTTCTTGACACCTGGCGTCCTTTACAAAGTCCTAAATAAATCATACTCTAAAGTCATAATATTTTTGAACTTCTTATGTCGATAACGGACGACCGACCTTCAGTACCCTTGGTAAGAGTTTTACAATTTCGAAAACTATGATAGTTTTCGTGAGCTCAAACTCGTACTAAGCTTACTGATTTTATTGTTTTCGTTTCAATATAAATAAACAGTGTTTAAAGTCTATCATTCAATCATTTGTGTCTTCTTAAAATTTAAGTATGTTTGGTTACTTTTCACCAAAATGGACATAGAAACATAATTTAAAATTACAAAAACTATGATAGTTTTTGTGAGCTCAAACTCGTACTAAGGGTACAGGTAGCATCAATTCCCGAGTATTTGTTATTAATATGTTAGGCACTTGCAATAAATGTGATTTTTTGTAATAATTTGTTTTACTACTTAATTTATGATAATAATTTGTTATGCTCTATGTCTTTATCAAATAATATTAAACAAAAATATTTGTTGAAGTGAAACCTCTGAAAAAACCTTCGTTTTAAATTTTATTCAACAGGAAAAGTCTCGGCCTTTGCAACAAAAACTGTTTAATGCTTTGTAAAGTACATTCGACCATAGTGGCAAGAGATTTTAGTATATGCTTGGGTGTCAGGAGGCGAGCCTAGTGAAATGATTTTACTTTTGAAAGAAAACAAAATACGTTCGAGCTTGGGGTAGGGAATAAGTACAGATGATAGAGTGACACTTGTGTACTAAGAAACTGTTTATTTTTAGTGTGTATTTTTTCCATAAATAAATAAATATTTCCAACACTCATACCAATTAGCCTAGCCCCAAAGTAAGCACTATAAGGCTTGTGTTATGGGATACTAGGTTAATGGATAGAATACATATACTGTACATATATAAGTATATTTTTATAGATATATAATGCGATTCAACTAAGAATAGGATCAACGGGGGCCATATTGTGACGTCATAGCTGTCAATTCAAACGAAAAAGGTAGAGTGAGCAAAAAAGTTTTTATTTAATAAAAGTTATTTACTAAGATTAAGTGAGAAAAAACATCCGATTTTTTAATAAAATTTATTTACTAAAATTGAGAAAAGAAAATAATAACCGATTTTTAATAATATTTATTTACTAAGATTGTGCGAGAAAAAAACATTAATCAGAATTAAGCTTTTCAATTCCGCTCATCTCTGCATTAGGGTGCGGCCAGAGTGCACTCAGATTCAGATTCAGATTCCGAAAACAAGCGCGAGAAATAAACAGTGTAGTCGAAGGGTACGGACAGAGTGCACTCCTGATTCAGATTCAGATTCAGACTCAGAAAACAAAGCGCGAGAAAAAGCAGGCAACCTGCTTAGACTACACTGTTTATTTCTCGCGCTTGTTTTCAGAATCTGAATCTGAATCTGAGTGCACTCTGGCCGCACCCTTACGGAGTAGTTATGAATAATCATTATTAGGTCACATACGAACATGCATTCTATATGTAAACCAAAGTTTTAAATCGAGTTTCTGAATGCAACTTAAAGTGACATTTGGTTGACGATTTAGGTTATCAAACATTCATAAAAAAAACTCAATAAATGAAAATAAAATATCAACCAATATTAATTAATAATATTCGTTATTGTTTGTTTACAAATGTTTGGTTTTTATTCCATAATTAGCTGAGTGCTAAAGAAGGGTTCCAAGATTTTTTTGCAAGCTGTAGTTTTCAAACGACATTTGACAGATGGTGGTCATTGGCTTTCCTATTCTTATTTGAATCGCATTATACATATTAAACATCCATGACTGGAGTACAAATGCTCGTATTCATCACACAAAACATCTGCCCCCACCGGGATTTGAACCCGGCGAGTCGGCGACACCATGAAACCCGGCATACAAACCACTCGACCACGGAGGTCGTCAAAATTTCCATCTATTTGTAGCATGTCTTTCTGAGGTATTATGTGATTATATCTAGCAGAAAAATACATCACAGAAAGCAAATACGGTCAGAAATGGTGTTAAGAAAACATTTAGTAAAATATTTGTACTGTGAAGTGAGTTTTGTCATCGGTATTGGTTCTTGAACCACTTTGCCTAATCTCCTTTAGAACAACCGCGCAATCGCACATTTGACATTGCTAAAAAGTTCTTTCACAAAATTGTATGGCACTTTTAAAAGGAAGGATAACGAAAACTTTATACTCACATGAAGCGTTTCCCGCCAAAATCGCCAACGTTAACACCGCAAAAACTTTCGCACTCATCATGGTGGACGTTCAGATCACAACACTGTACATTTTGTATTACACGGGGCACTGAGTACACGCACGATGTTCATTCTAGCTTTTTCAAATCTGAAACAATAAGAAATTTTATTTTTTATAAATCAATCTATTGAATTAAACACAGCATTGGGTTTCTAAAAACTTGTAAGATGCGTGTATCTGTAGTTTCGTAACGTATAAGTTGACGATTGGGGAGTATTACCTTACGGAGTTGTGAAGAAAATGTTACTAGTTTGATTTTCTTTAGATATAAATATAAATAAATAGTTTTTATGCCTAAACAGTAGGACACGGCATTCCTAAACTTTTTTTTTAAATCTGTTTTTTATATTTTTTATTTTATGGTCATAATTGTTTGATCATTTACATTTGTAATGGAAAGTGACTTCATGAGTTATCTCATATTGAAGTCATTTTTCAAATTGACGACTCTGTATATAATACAGGGAGAAAAAAAAAAATGGTTGCCTGTAAAGTCGGTTTTACGGGCGAAGATTTTACGTGATAACGTCTTTTTCTCGGTAGAATATTTATTGATATGAATATAATTAAATTGCACAATAGGAACAAGGAATTGAATGAAAATAAGAATTGCACAAATTTTAACTATAGAAATATATTTTGTTTACTAAAACATTGTACATGTAAACTTAAACTTAACACGAGAGACTCATCGTAACGTTACCGAGCGTTACACTTTTTCATAAGTGACTCCCAGCCGCAACCTAATTTAAGACGTTGTCACGTCAAAAATGGTTGCCTGTAAAGTCGGTTTTACGGGCGAAGATTTTACGTGACAACGTCTTTTTCTCGGTAGAATATTTATTGATATGAATATAATTAAATTGCACAATAGGAACAAGGAATTGAATGAAAATAAGAATTGCACAAATTTTAACTATAGAAATATATTTTGTTTACTAAAACATTGTACATGTAAACTTAAACTTAACACGAGAGACTCATCGTAACGTTACCGAGCGTTACACTTTTTCATAAGTGACTCCCAGCCGCAACCTAATTTAAGACGTTGTCACGTCAAAAAACAGCCCTTGCTGAGTTTCTTGCCGGTCCTTCTCAGTACAAAGTCTCCCGCCGTAGATTTGCGAACCAATGGCGTAGCTTTTCGACATTCACAAGTGCTTGTAACAGCCTAGACTGAATAAACGATATTGAATTTTGAATGTTTATTTATTTTTAAATTGTTACACATTTAGTTTACACATTATTTTAGCAGTGTTATAAGTATTAACAATAGGACTAAGGTTGTAGCGTTGATATCTGCACTAGTTTAAAAAACTCTATTAGATACCGGCACCTTCCGACTTAATATAAATACAATTTCGTGTGAATAATTTAATTTATATCTAGCTATAATGAAAACGTTAATAAACGAAAATGCTAATAAACTTATTTTTTTCTTCCCCTAAATAAAATAGTCTACAAGATAATACTAGTTACCTACATCTTGAACGGCAAATACATATCTTAACAAAATAAGCAATCATCAATGTGTATATGTATATGTGTGTGTGTTTGTGAGTATGTATTTGTATGTGTGAGTGTGTCTGTGTATGTATATGTGTGTGTTGTGTGTGTTATGTGTATTGTTGATGCAGTGGTAAGTTTGTTTTTCTGATTTTTTATGTTTTAAGTATAGTCAACTAATTTAAGTATTTTAGAATGTATTAGATTATCCATTGATTAAGATATTATCCTTATTGATTAGGTTTTTATTCTGGATAATATGAAGTAGATAAATGCTTAAAATAAAAATAACAATTTACGGAGCTGCAGTTAAACCTACATTATAGAAATGTTTATGAGTTTTAGTTCTGCGATAAACTTTGTTTAGAATTAAATTTAAATGAGAAGATATTCTTTATATCATACAAGGTGCTTCCCTCCTCCATTGAGTCCAGTCACGAAGAACGTGTGCTTCTCCATGTTGCCGATCTCATCTAATCTAACGGGGTAGGGCCCATGGAGTCCTGGAACATTCTACAGAAACATAACCTCACCAAAGTTTTTTTTTATGTTAAATTACGATCCTTTACCAAACGCATCTACCACTGCATAGAAGTAAAGTTTTTTGAAGTGAAAACTTCTTTAGCGGCGTTGTATACTTTTTTTGTATGGGTAAAAAATGTTAAAGTCGCGTCAGGTTAAACACGTGAGCTGATCGCATCATGACACAATAAAATTGGAAAGATTGTTGACTTTCAATATATTGGACGAAACATAGTAATATTTTATTTTACCGTATTATAATAATAAGTCTCTATCTAGGACGTCCACGTGGCAGCTTTATTGCGAAGAAAATGCATTTTTTTACAATAGATGTCGCTAGGTGCGCTTAAATGTGATTCATGTAAGTTGATTTCTTTACAATAGATGTCGCTAAGTGCGCTTCAACGTGATTCATGTAAGTTGATTTTTGAGAGATATACTTTTTTAATGTAATACAAAGTCATGTTTGTGTACGATAGCGCAATAAATAAATATTGTATTCTACCACTTACATGATAGTATTATTACTGATAATTAAAGCAATTCGTGCAAAATTATTCTCCAACCATCCCAAAATATCAAAAATGCACTACGTTAATATTCAAGTTTTCACTTCTTTCAAGGGAGGCATATAACTGTATGGCCCGCTTGCTCATGGTAAGCGGCCACCATACCTTATAGATGGTTGTAATACCAAAAATATCACTCGCATCGTTGCCTACCTAACCCTGCCCTAGAGCCCTGGAACCTTTCTCAGCGACAGAAACCCAACACCACCAAAAGTAGGTGTTACTATTCTGTAAGGTATAGGTTTTTCCCCTAGACGGGCCCTCCAATTCGAGTGAAAAATCCGTTACGCCATACTTTTCTTAAGAGCGGACGCGAGCTAATGGACATTTCAGAAATATCTATTTGATAACACTATTGCTATCGTGTATTAGCGATTACCGTGCGATGGGGACAAATATTGAAGAATATTTTTCAATACTAGACCTCAAACAGTTTTTCAAATCTTAGGTGCCTCACAAATATATTGTTTGAACCTTACATCCATTCCAAATTGAGTTTTTTTTTAATTCTTAATAGGTAAGGCTGTTGATCACAATCTCTTTAATGGAAAGCGATGATGAGGATGGTACACGCCTGCTTAAAAAATGCCTGTTCACTCTGGCCTTGAAGATGTCCAGATTATATTGGTCCGGGAAAACAGATCTTGGCAAGGAGTTCCACTCCCTAGCCGTTCGCATAATGAAAGTGGAAGCAAATCGCTTAGTGTGAATTGTAGGAGTCTACATAAAGTAGCTCTTTGACCTTACTAAAGTAAAGTGCTTTAATAACAATGTTGTTATAAGACTGATCATTAACCGCCTTATTAATAAACAAGGAATAAGCTTAGACTAGTTACGCCGTATTTTGTTCATGTCCCTCATGTGCCATTTGTCATTCAATGAACAAAGACAAAACATGGAGTAACTAATCCAAGCTTATTATTTTTTTTTATTAATAAGGGGGTAAGAGTATTACTGTATACTGAAATATATCTCCACGATTTTCTTAATCAGCCAAAGAAGGAGAAATGTGTAAGGAAAAAATATTTAAGCATAGAACAAAACACAATGAGAGCATCGTTCGAATTCAGTCTTTTAAAAGGTCGAGGATGATTAAAAATATTTTACATCTATAGGTAGCGGCAAACTTCTTAAACAAAACTAGAGATAAATGAACTTGCTCAATACACGTTTAGGAACTCAATGGCGCTGGTGGTTAGCGCATTCGGCTGCGATCGTTGAAGTTAAGCAACTTTCGCAGTGGTCGGTCGGTGACCAAAAATCTTCTATCCCGAGTTCCTCCATGCTTCGGCAGGCACGTTAAGCCGATGGTCCCGGATGCATCTGCAGTCGTTAGCACCCGCCAATCCGCTCTGTCCATGGCCCAATCACCCTATTCCATCCATAAGGAAGGCCAGTTCCCCAGCAGTGGGCCATTAATAGGCTGATAATGATGATGACAAATACACGTTTTTGTATGTAAAATTGCTATTTCTACGAAGGCATCCCTGTCTATAGTTGTTGCTAAAGAAGTTTGTCAGGATACCTACCGATTAAAAATTGCAATATTTTAATTCACAGTTCCATAGTTGAAATTGCAAATCGCCGAGCGCTTTGCATTTCAATAAAACACGTGAGGTGTGGTGTACACGCGATGGATGGGCGCTTCAATGAACCGTGCGATTTAACGGGATAGCTCTCTTCCGGACGTGTATACCAAGGCAAGGAGATGGTTAAACATTGTATTGATGTCATATAAAATAACTAGAGCTGCCATGCGGTTTCACTTGATTTAATTGGAGGATATAGTGTTGCGGTATTTTCTTTTTAACTTTTAAAGGAGAATAATTCGGTCATAGATGGTTTTTGTGTAGCATTTACAGATAACACAGCGCACGCAATGGCAGCTCTCGAATGAAATATATTTTTTCGTGTTTTTGCAAAAATTCTCCCGCTTCGGAGCATGGTACAGGCCATCCCAACAGCCTGCAGACCAGTTGGGTGCGGGGACGCGGTGAAGTCCCTCAACTGGCATCTCGCAGTTCCGCACTTAACAGCGTAAAGAGTATTCGTAGGGTTTTTAGCGTATAGTATGCCGTAGAGGCTAGCTATTACGTCCGTTCTTTAGTGTGCCTCTTGGGCGCTAACGTCTGTAAATAGATTTTTTACCTGCATAAAAAAAGGAACACGCACAAATAAAGTTTGCACTTAGATATAATCTCATCAACAAAACAAGGAGCGTCGTTTATTAAATTTCAAAAAACAATAAAGATCGATAATCTTGTGCAACGGTACAGGCAGTTATCGACCCGACATCATCATCATCAGTCATCGACGACAGGTAGTTAATCCCTTTGGGAGTAAAATTGATCAAAATCCTTTCTTAGCGGATGCCTACGTCATAACATCTACCTGCATGCCAAATTTCAGCCCGCTCCGTCCAGTGGTTTGGGCTGTGCGTTGATAGATCACTATGTCAGTCAGTCACCTTTGAGTTATATATATATATAT